TATAATAAACTGCAAGTTCTGACACATAGAGCATACTGTAGTATATAGTCAGGTAAATGATTTCACAATTTGGTCACTGCCTGTGGGCCCTTATCTATAGAATGAAGCATTCTTCTACACTGAATGATGTTCTTGCACTCCACAAGTCCAGTGCAGGGCATGTTTGAAATAGCCAGAACAGATAATAATGAACTTTATTGTATAGCTAAACAAAAAAAGAACTGGTCAGAATCAAAAGACCTGAACGTCCACTTTAAACTGCAGAGGCCCCTCTCTCTGGTATGAGTTAAAACCAGTATAAAATTAGAGTGAAAATAACTGAACCATCTCACTGATCCAGGAGAGAGAATTGTGAAAATGACTGCAATCTCTCTGCTCCCCTCAAACAGAACCCCTCATTTAAAGACGCTGTGTTGGGCTTTCGCCAGCTGACTAAACGTGAACTAGACATGTTCCCAGGATACAGGTACTTATCACCTGCATCTCATCATAAGTTATTTATTTTTTATTTTTTATGCTGAAGACTTTTTTCAGATTTTCAATTTTCAGAATCAGTTTTGTTTTACTCTTTGGGGATTGTAGTAATTATTTAGATTTTGAATCAAATTGAAATAATTTAAATGTATTTGATAATGAAATGGATTTGTAAATGTAGTGTTGTGTCACTTTTCCTTTTACCTTTATCTTTTCAGTTTTGGGTGGTTCAACACTGCTCTGATGATTGAAGGAAAGACATACCTGCCCTGGCTTATGGACTGGTGAGAGATTCCCGTTATCTAATCAGTAACCAAAATTAGAATTGGAATGAAATAGAATATACAGTGGAGTTCAAAAGTCCACAATGAAATCTGAAATTCAAAATGTAATTTAAGCTTGGAAATTGTTACATTTTACAAATAAGCATTTTAACTTAAATTGAATATGTAATATTTCCGATTTCTAGGCTTATGTATATGTGTCTACACATCTTATACATGCATATGTGTGTGTGTGTGTGTTGAATTTTTACCTGAATGTTCTTATTCTTTTGTTTTGCTGTATATGCATCAGAATAACCATTGTGCATTTACATAGTTATGTAAAATATGTTGTGAATGTGTTACTCATTTACAGTATGAATCTTTTCTGGTCTAACAATGATTAACAGTATCTTTGACACCTTGGTCCCGTTTCTGTGTTTTCTGCAGGTTAAGACAAAGAAAGGTCAGGTTTTATCAGAGGAAGATTGGTTCATTTAAAGAGGTTTGAGTAATTCCTTTCTCATTTTCATTTATATTTTTAAATTAAAAGTTCAGTAGTATCTTCATTCAGTGGAGAACATTCAAATAATCTAAAACGTATTAAATTGATCACATTATACTGAACATATTAAAGTGACAGTTGAAATGAAAAATCAGCATATTAGAGTGATTTCTGAAGGATCATGTGACACTGAAGACTAGAGTAACGGCAGTTACAAAATTCAGCTTTGTCATCACAGGAATAAATTACATTTTAACACTGTATATTTAAACAGTTATTAAAATATATAAAAACAGTTATTTTGTAATAATATTACAATAATAATATTGTTATAATAGTTCACAATATTACTGCTTTTACTGTATTTTAAATCAAATAAATGCAGCCTTTGTGAGCATAAGAGACTTGAACATTAAAAGTCTTAGCTAACCCAAACTTTTGAGCGGTAGTGTACATGTTAACTTTATTGTTAAAATAATTAAGAAAAGTGTAGCATCTGGTTAACTAATACTATTTTTAACATAAGCAGATTCACTAATTTAATTAAATTAATGTTGAGATTCTGCTTGCCTCATCTATGCTGTTAATTTTAATCATAAAATGTGAGTATTTGTAATGACCTCAAAAATGGGCTCCAGCTGGCAGATAGTGGTGCTGATGTTATCATCAACTGCTCCGGTGTCCGATCAGGAGACCTTCAGCCTGATCCTGAGCTCCAGCCAGGCAGAGGACAGATCATTAAGGTCAGGTTTAGTGGATAAAAGTCGATCAGGCATAAACCTTTAACAATGAACTGTTTTGATCTCATGCTTTTTATATCAACAGGTAGACGCTCCCTGGTTGAAACACTGGATCCTCACACATGATTCCTCGTCAGGAGTTTATAACTCACCGTACATCATTCCTGGGTAAGCCTCTTTATGATGACACTGTACTGTTTTTCCAGTAATTGAAATAAAGCTGAAATAAAATAAAATATAAATAGTAGAGAAAAAACTTAAATTGGCAACTAACTGAAACAAAATCATTTAAAGTGCAAAATGACTAAAACTAAAAAATCAATTGAAGCTAAATAGAAATATAAACAAATAAAAACGACAAAGGCACATAATATTGCTGAAACTAAAATTAAAAAGAAAACTGAAAATATAAAATAAAAGTTAAATTAAAATATTAATAAATACTATGATAGTATGTAATACTAAAATAACACTTAATAACACAACCATTGTCGTGTTTATAATGAGGTGCAATGTAGTCTTGTCTTAGCAGTGATGTACATTACCTCTGGTAATTTTTTGTCTGCAGGAGTCGTTTAGTCACTGTGGGTGGAGTTTTCCAAGTAGGAAACTGGAATCTGCAGAATAGTTCTGTTGACCATAAAGGAATCTGGGAAGCCGCCTGCAAGCTTGAGCCCAGTCTACAGGTAGTTTCAGCCATTTAGCCTTAATTAAATTAGTGTTTGTTCGAGTAGCATGAGTGGATTCGATCTCTTTTTTTCTCTCTCTCTCTAGCATGCATGGATAGTAGAGGACTGGACTGGTCTCAGGCCCGCACGGAGCAAAGTTAGACTAGAGAGAGAGACCATACGGTCTGGACCAACCTCGTTTGAGGTGAGCTCATAGAATGATCATTACACTGAAGATCTGATGCCATCTTTCAATGAAGAAATATTGCCATAAATAGCCAAGATGAAGTATGATTAATACAGAGCCCCTAAATGGACATGCTATTGGAAAAAATGAGATGTGAGGAAAAAATATTACAGTGCTTTGCCTTCGCTTGCAAAACTTTTGCTTTCCCCCAGGAACCATTGCATTCACTTGCATAACTGGTGATAAAATTATATGAAATGGGAGAAAAAAACTATTTTAAAATTGTAATGCTTTTGCGAGTTTCTCGGGGGAAAGAATAGAAAGTTAGTACAAAAGTTAAGGCAAAAGCAATGCGATAAAATTTGTAACCTATTTAGCTTTCATTTATTTTTATCTTTATTTTTATTTCAGTTTTAGTATTAGTAATTTTAGAACTTCAACTTATTTTCAGGTAATTTCTTTAAGTTTGTTAAAGGTGCAATAGGTGATTGTCTTCAGAAACATTTTTTGTTATGCTGGTTAAAAGTCTCTTCACATCCCGATAGCAATCATTAAGTTAAGTTGTCTAAATGTATTTATCTGGCTGATGTAGCCTTTTGTAGTAATGTTTTCTCTGGTATTCTGGTCTGTGAGTGTATATGCGTTCAGGGGGCGTGGCTTTGGACGGCGATTGCAGGGAGGGTGGGACGTTCGCTTTCAGTGCTATCAGGCTAAAGTTAGCATTTTCCAAGATCTCCTACTGCACCTTTAAGTTTAGAACCCCAAGAACCATTGAATTCGCTTGCAAAACTTTAGCATTTGCTCACAAAACTGGTAATGGAAATAATATGAGATGGGAGGCAAAAAAATATATTAATGCTTTGCAAGTATTGATTCTGATTCTGTAAACACTCGTCCTATTTATGATGTACCGACACAAACTCATGAAAAAGACAGCTTCTAATGCACAAGATTTCTAAGCAAAGGCAAACGTTTTTCGAGTGTATGCATAAGCATTTCAGTATCATATTCCCTTCCATCTCATATTTTTTCCATCATCATGTCCCTTTAGGGCTCCGTAGATTCATGATTCTTTTAACACACCATGCTGTTTTCATTCACCTCAGGTCATTCATAACTACGGACATGGAGGTTTTGGACTGACCATCCATCGTGGATGTGCTGAGAAAGCTGCTCGTCTCTTTGATCAGATCCTGGAGCAGAAAGGCCTGCTAGCACACTCTAAATCACGTCTCTAATAGATCTGGGCCTCTGGATGTTATATACAGTATCAATTTTATTCTCGCTAATCTAATAACCATTGTCATACTGATTCCAAGAGATAATGAATCTCCAGAACTGAATACATTTTGTCTACATTTATCTCCACTAATCTATAATAAATATACATACACTCACTTTCTTTTTCTTGAAGCATAATTTATTGTTATCATACATGTACATCCAGTGCAGTGGCAAGAGATCTGTGCACACAGACACAAAACACGGCACTAAATCGCAAAAGACAGGCAACTCTCTGCACTCACAGGAACAACTGCACGCTTCCCATCATGCCACACACATACCCACTGTACAGTTGAAAAGGCAGAAATACAAATAACCGAATATAGCATTGAGCCGTTGTGCTGAAAAAAACAAAGATTGTTGCTAAATGTTCAAGTTGTGTGTTCTGATGCAAGCCATTGTTTGAAAAATGTGCTTGGAGGCTGATGTGCTAGAATAAGACAGTAATAAAATATATCTGACCCAAAGGCCTGTACTGTTGAAAGCCACTTGCTATTGTTTTATTCTTATTGAGCTGTATTTTAAGATTATAATTATCCAATAACCTTTGATATGCCTGATTATAAGGGATCAACTGGAATTTATACACTTTATATGAGTGATTGCAGTTGGCAGCCGGTGAGAGGACGAAGAGAGGTGCTCTCAAGTGCTGAGTTTTGTGAAATGAAGACTTTGGTGTCCACTAGATACGTCACTGGTGTCAGTGAAAGTCTAAAACTATGAATGGCTAACAATTAACAATTAAGTATGGTAAATGGTTCTTTGAAAAAAGCAAGATAACACCACAAACTGGTGCAATGTCTGATTTATAGCAGCATCCTGTCTTTCTTTCGATTAATAGATTTAAAGTTGTCATGACTTTCCCAAAGGAATGCTGGGAGTAAAGTGTAAGGCCCTCTTTAAAAATAAAATAATAAAACAAATTCTCTTTCTACTCGCTGTCATACTAATCCTGTTGCAAACACACATTCTCTTGTGCTATCTTTCAACTTCAAGACTTGAGGTTCAAATCTTTCGTTGTTCAAATGCTCCTCAGACCCTTTGGACATGTGAGAGTGATTTCATGTGCTAAACTGCATAATGCAATTTGTCATGCTTTAGATCCATTTTCAACCCATTTCCTGTTGTAGTTCCTTGGGGAATAGGGCAAAAGGGGAGTATTATGTGATGTGAATCTATTCCACTCTAATTGTCTGGTCCAGAGGTTCATAAAAAGAAACCTTGCAACCTTTGGTGGAGGAATGTGTCATTGATGGACTGATTTAAATCAAAACCAAGCAGTTCTTAAAATCAACAAATCTGCTATTCCTTTGTGGACACACATTGCGTTTTTACAGAAAAGATTCCCCACTTCAAACTAAGAACAATTTCTTCTACTATGTCTTTCCAAACCTACATGTGGTGTTCCTTAGTCCTGTGAACCAGAGCTGGAATGTGGAATCCCTCCAGGGCTGTGGTCTGAGGCCCGTCTCATCATCTCCTGACCCCACTCTCTGTGACTGGACTCCTGGAGGCCTCGTCCTGTGGTCTCTATGGGCAGGGCACAGGAAGCAATAGCAGCCAGCAAACAGCAGCAACAGTACACTGACAGAGTCAGGTACACAGAAGATTCCAGCATCACCTTGAGGACGTAAGCAGAGATCTCTTATGTTCACCAAGATCGCATTTTTTTGATCAAAAATACAGTAACAACAGTAATATTGCGTAACACTATTAGAATTTAAAATAACTTTTCTATTTTAATATATTTAAAAATGTAATTTATTCCTGGATCGGCAAAGCTGAATTTTCAGCAGCCATTACTCCAGTCTTCAGTGTCAAGTCAAGTCACCTTTATTTATATAGCGCTTTATACAATTCTGATTGTGTCAAAGCGCTTTACAGTGTCAAACAGGAAAATAGTTTGTCACATGGTCCTTCAGAAATCATTCTAATAGGATGATTTGGTGCTCAAGAAACATTTCTTAGTAGTACTGCTGAAAATGGTTGCGCTGCTTAATATTTTAAAGAAACCACAACACATTTTTTCAGGATTCATTGATGAATAGAATGTTCAAAAGAATAATATAGTATAAATAAGAGTATCTTAAAGTTTCGTATATGCAAAAAATGTGAACTCAAATATGTGGTTTAAGTTGGTTCTAGTATTTTTTTTCTGTGAATTTAAAATAATTTTATGTACAAACTTACTAATGAACCATCATTTCTGAAAACATTTACACACATATGAACAGTTATTGAACAGTTATTGAATGAGACCCCAAAATTATGTTGTCCACATGAGCACCACAGCTCAACATATCAGAGCATTTGCCCAACCTGCCACAGATTCATAGCTGTTGTATTATAAGAAGTGTTTTGACTGTTTTACAAGAAATTTAAGACATTTGAAGTATTAAAAAATGTATATTGTATCTCCAAATTTCTATAATATTTGTTGTTGTTCAGTTATTGTGCATGTTTTGTTAAGTTTAGAGTATATTTAGAGTATAACATTATTCTGTATGTCTTTTATAAGTTTCTGGTTATTGTTTCCACACCTGTGCCACAAATGGTGTGATGAGAGCTCCAACCCGAGCCATCCCACTGCTGGTGCCCAAACCCAGTGCCCTCGTTGCTGTGGGATAAACCTGCAAAAGACACCGAGAGAGAGATATTGAGTGATTTATAACCATGATCTTCTCATTGAACATTGAACTATTACTTAACCACAGGGTGGTTAGTGAATGGACCTACATGACCTACATGGATCCATGTATATTCACTAAAGTTTCTTCAGCATGCTATTATGCTGTAAACACTTTCAAAACCAGTTAAATATCACAGACAAAGATTAATGTAGTTAGCAAAACTGCCTCAGGTTACAATCTTAAGTAACTACGGTATGCAATAAAATGACCTCAATGACATTTACAAAAAGACAACCTACAGACACTATGCGTAATATTCAACCCTTCAATCCTGTATCTGGAGATGAACTCCAGTAGTTCACGAAAAGTAGGATGACAAAGTGGCCTGTTTTATGTCAGGTACGCTGTTGCAATGTCTGCCAAGTGGTGGGAGTGAGCCAGGAACTGGACATTCCCAAGGTCAAAATCCTTTTATAGCACAGCTGTTGCCTTGAGCAGAACATTTAACACTACACTGACAGTCTACAGGCTTTACTCTCCTTTCAATTGATCTGAGTGTCAAATTTTCCTGTGTTTCTATTACATATTCCTTTGACAGGGCAAAGAATGATAGAGCTTCCGTTTGAGCCTCACTTCTTCCAAAAAATAAAAATTAAATAACTGAAATGAACTGAAAAGAGTTCTCACCTCAGGAGTGTACACATATGCAGCCTGGAAACCTCCAGCGATGAAAGCCCTCGCAATGAATATAAATACTGTCAAAGAAGTCCTGCAATATAGGGAATGTAGTTATTCACAGTATGGTCACATATGTGATTAAAACAGGCTTGAATGCCCTAGAAAAATGGCAGTAATAGATGTGCTTTCTGACCTTCCCACACAGGCGTAGAGTGGTACAATGCAGAGAGAGAAGACAAAGAAACACAGTGCCATAGTCTTCCTCCTCCCTAATCGATCAATCGCCCACAGGGTCACCAGCAGGCCTGTGATGCAGCAATCAATATGTTCGTCACATTTTCTTTTTGCCTGCCATACATTATTTAAAAATGAGATGTTAAAGGAGTAGTTCACCCAAAAAATTTACATTTGCCGAAATGTAGATTTTGCCGAAATTGTTTCTTCATTTGAACAGATTCAAAGACATTTAGCATTGCATCACTTGCTCACCAATGGATCCTCTGCAGTGAATGGGTGCCGTCAGAATGAGAGTCCAAACAGTGGATAAAAACAGCACAATAATCCACAAGTAATCCTCACGACTCTCTCAGTCTATCTCAGAATCCTCTGACATTTGTTTAGAATTATTTTGGACTGTTTTTGCTTGTTAATGGTGTTTGATCTGTGCATATTTCTCTCCTGATTCAGACAAGATGACTTTTTCTCTGGAGAAATCAATTTTATGTATAGAGGACTCATATTGTAGCTGGAAGCAACGGTTTGAAGTTAAAAACGTCCTAAAGATGGCTTTTCACTTCAAAAAACATTAACTGATGAACTTGAGTCATGTGGATTACTTGTGGATTATTGTGATGCTTTTATCAGCTGTTTCAACTCTCATTCTGACGGCACCCATTTACTGAGGAGGATCCATTGGTGAGCAAGTGATGTAATGCTTTATTTCTCCAAATCTGTTCTGATAAAGAAACAAACTTACCTCCAAACTTAACTACCTTCGAACCCTCTATCTTGGATAACCTGAGAGTGGGTAAATTTTCATTTTTGGATGAACTATTCCTTTAATGGCATTACAATACAAATGTATACCAGGAAACTCAGAAAGTGTGGTCCATAGAAGGTCTTTGTAATCATCTGAATTCAGATATTTGCACTCCAAGCTGCAACCTGGCTCCATTTTACTGCCCTTCGCCTCTAGGGGGAGACACAAGAACAATGTATGCACACAGAATACATTGGTTGTGTATGGTTAGCATTCTTCTAGTTTGAAATGATATTAAACACACTGGTTTACATACTGTTTTTAAAAAAATATTAGGCAGCATACAGGTTATACTGTACAGCATATTAAATATGTTGAATAAATGTGGTATTCTATTCTTTACATAGCCCTTATTTTCTCACTATACTCCAGTCTGTTTTTAAACACACAATAGCTTTCACTCACGACCACAGGCGCCTCCCTCCTGGAAAAGCGCAGTGGTCAGCAAAACCACACCATAATATGAGAATGCATTAGAGAACCTGCAACAGAAAGCACACAATAAACAGAATATGAATGAAAGCAGCAAGAACAAAACAATGTGAAATATCTGAGTGAAATTGTGAAACAAAAGAGTGAGATGTGACAAAAATCGAAACAAAACGTCCTTTTAAGCTTTAGTAGTAGACATCTACATAAAGAATGCAGACAGGTGATTGAATGAGAGCTCACACAGTTATTAATAGGATTTTGTATGACCATCTTACCATATGAACCAGAGCAGAATAGTAGTCAAACGGAAGTGTGGAGAGAAAAGATCTTGAATTTTCCCCCTGTCCTCCTGAACACAGAAAATAACGATTATACCCAAAATAAGGAGAGATAAAATATGTCAAAATGGATAGAGAGAGAGAGAGAGAGAGAATAAATATGGTAATAATGTGAAATATTATTATTAGATTATATTATATAATTTAAAATAATTTCTTTCTATTTTAATATATTTTTTAATTGATTACGTTTTCAGCTAAACATTTCTTATTATCATCAATGCTGAAAAGGGTTGTACTGCTTTATATTTTTGCAGAAACCATGAAACCATTTTTTTTTCAGGATTCTTTGATGAATAGAAAGTTCAAAAGAATAATAACATAAGTAGTACAAATAATATTATCTAATAGTTTGGTATAGACAAAAATATGAACATGTGGATTAAGTCGGTTCTATTTATGTATGTATTTATTTATTCATTCCAAAAATTTAGAAAAATTCATAATCATAATTCATAATAATAATTTATGCATCGTAATTTCTGCATGAAAACTTTCACACACCAATGCAGATTCAACGCTATTGTATTATAAGAAGCGTTTTAACTGTTTTCCAAGAAATTAAGACCAAGTAAAGAAAGCCGTAAATGGCATAAATTATATAAATAAAGTAATATACACAAGTATATTTAACTAGTATTTTACCTGTCTGGCTGCTATGAGTTTTCCCAGCGGCATGGGGACATTATTCTCTGTAGCAATGCGTTTGAGTGTGTTTAAAGCCTTCTCCTGATTTCCTGTCAGGACGTCATAACGAGCGCTCTCCGGCAGCCACTGTTGATGTGCATTTGACATTATGCTTAGTCTATTGTTCAGACGATATATTGCTCACACCACAAAAAAATAGTATACAGATTAAAAGAACCTTAAATGTTAGGGTAACATCTTGCAATTCTCCATACCATAATTAATTGAATGCTTGCACGCTACCATTCAAAAGTTATTTAGCAAGGATGCATTAAATTATTTTTTACATTATTTCAAAAAAATTCAATTTCAAATAAATGCTGTTCTTTTGAATTTCTTTTATTCAACAAAAAATCTGGAGAAAAAAAAAATATATATATATATCCACAACTATTCTCAAAATTGATAATTATAAGAAATGTTACTTGAGCACCAAATTGACCAACGTATGCACCAGAACTGAATTTACTCTCACAGGATGTATTAAAATGTATTAAAATATAGTTTAAATGTAAATATTTCACAATATTACTGTTTTACAGTATTTTTGATCAAATGCAGCCTTGATGAGAATAAGACTTTCAAAAACATTTAAAAAATCTTATTGACACCAAACTTCTAAACGGTTGTGCGTGTATTTAGATCTGTGTCATACTTACGATTGTGGAGCCCCTCCAATGCCGAAGCCCACCAGAGCTCTGAGGAATAGGATCCATCCATATACAGGTGCAAACGCACTGAGGAGGCCATAAAACAGGGTCCATAATGCACTCATCTTCAAACCCTACCAAAAACACACACATCTTAATCATTCCCCGCTGGTGCACAGTGAATATAAATCACATTTGTGCCATTGGACATGCACATACTTCTCTTTAATTTACATACTCACTGTTTTTCTCCCATATTTATCAGATATGTTACCCCATAATGAAGAACTGATCATCATTCCAATGAACACTACCTGTTTCAGAGAAGGGTAGAAACTCCACATTACATACACGTCAATCTGGTTATTCAGGCAGACACATTTAGGAACAGCTGATGATGCAAAGCTTGACGGAACGAGAAAACCAATCCTACTGCCAAACCTCTCTAAAAAAGCATGAGGGGAGTCATTATTGACTTGAGGAGTAGTGTACAGTACCGAAGTTAGCAGTGCCACCTCCCAGCTGGGCAGTGCCCACTCACAGTGCAGTTGAGGGGCCAATATACTGAGGATCATCATCTCCATGGCGTCGGCCATCTGCACACAAATTCAACCATCGGCAATATGGAAACAAATATAGCAACTACTCCTTCTGACTACAGAATCAGCTAAAGATTTACAGCTTATAAAACGATACTGTGTTAATTTGTAAATAAAATGTTTAATTTATACAGTGTTTTTCTAGAACCCAAGGTCAACTGATTGTAATTATACAGTGTTGTGATGATACAACAATTATTCCCTCTGTGCATTTTGTTTAAGTTTTGTTACCCATGAAAGTCCAGTAAGGATGGACAGTTTCCACTGGAATGTCCCAAAGCCAATGGCTTCCACTGCATCCTCAACCATGAAGGTGTCTGTTGAAAGAGCAACATATGGAGAGTAGTTTAGCCTTACAGATGTTCAGTGAGCTGTCTGATAATGCAGTCAACAATCCTGTATATAGGAAGCATTTAACATGCTCAAGTGTTATTTTGTCACTAGCTCTTATTACTGTATTTTCGATTTTCATTTTAGTTTAAGATTCAGTAATTTTGTTATGTGCTTCTCCTTTTAGTTTTGTTTTTTATATATTTCTGTTGAATTTATTTTTACTTCAGTTTTAGTCATTTTAGTTCTTCAGTTTAAACTTATTTTAATTAAGTTAGTCGCATTTCTAATTTTCATTAGATTTTTCAAATATTTATTTTATTACAGCTTTAATTAACAAAACATTTTAAAAAAATCTATTTTAATTCAGTTACTTTTATTTCTCATTTTCTTTATGTTTTTCAAATATTTGTTTTATTACAGCTTTAATTAACAAAAAACTTTTTTTTTAAAAATCTATTAAATTCATAAACTAAATTTAATTAATCAATTACAAGTTGACACATTTAGAAAGAAAATAAACACCTTTTCTAACAAAAAAATTTAACTGGTGATCAATAAGCTATATTAATTGGCTAATCATACCATCAGTGGGGTTGGCAAATTCCCGAGGAACCGGAGCACCATCGGCCAGGGAAACAGACTCCATATCCGTCCGTCCTCCCTCCACCTGCAAAGCCTCTTCCCTGCCGCCACATTCATCCTCTGAGCGAGTGCTTTCACCTGTACGCCGGAATTTCACCACTCTGTCAGAGAGAAAAACGGGCAGACAGATATCAGAATCAATTAGATCATTCAGATTGACACATTTCTGAAGTTTTTTTTCATATGAATGGCTCCAACACACTGACTAAAACAACCAGTAAGGAGAGGATTCCGAATGAAACATGCTCTATATCTTTCTACTGCGGCTGTTTTCGGAAAAAATGAAGAAAGATTATATAATCACAGATTTAAGAGGCCTGACAGCTTTAGCAAGCACAGGTTTAGCAATGCCTATGCATAATATAGTGGCAGCCCACACACCATCCAGCCAATATATGCTGTTTATTGTAATGTGGCAGGCCAAAATAAATAATTTGACAGAACAAGCATCTGTATGTGGAATACAGCTGCAATGTGCAGGACAGAATGATGCACATAATAAGAGCCTGTTGCCAAGGTGATGAGAGAGCTTATTTGTGCAATGCCTGGAAAGAAAGCACATGAGAAAGCCAGCATGTTGTGACGACGGCAGCCCACACACCATCCAGCCAATATATGCTGTTTATTGTAATGTGGCAGGCCAAAATAAATCATTTGACAGAACAAGCATCTGTATGTTGAATACAGCTGCAATGTGCAGGACAGAATGATGCACATAATAAGAGCCTGTTGCCAAGGTGATGAGAGAGCTTATTTGTGCAATGCCTGGAAAGAAAGCACATGAGAAAGCCAGCATGTTGTGACGATGAGCGAAGAGACAGTGGAGTGATGTTTGAAACTGTGACTCACAACCGACAGACAGCCTTTATGGGGCAACTGGATGACAAGAATTTTCTCACAGAATGAAAACTGCTGTTTAAAGAAAACAACAACAGATGCTCTAGCAGTAGTCGGGGGGATTTTTACTATACAAATATCCTCACAGCTATGAAGACAGATTGGATCAGGGAGCAGTAAATAAGAGGAGCACACAGATCACATGGTTTAATTACTGTAATTGCAGTGCTCACGGCGACACTATGAGCAATAAAGCTTTCATGAGCAGACAGGCAGTGTAATTAAACAGATGACCTCTCCACGCTCAGCAAAGACAAACGTTTCTCTGGGAGCATTAAAAATAAAAAATAAATAGAAACCAGGATGAAGATCATAAATCTTCTGAAATTAGCAATGGTTTTAATGACAGCACAGACCTGGGCTCCTGCAAACATAAAGCAAATGCTATGAATGAAGGGTGTTTGTGACTCTTTCCTCTGTATTATTTCCATAAAGCATGGAAAAGACCCAAGCCTAGCTGAATCAAGCTCTACATCAACAATTAAGAACGCTGCCATTATGATTTCTGCACACCGTCAGATGGCGACTGGGCCTACTGCCAAGCATCAGCAGCACAGGAATAACATCAGCATAAGCAGGCAGATTATTCAAAACTCTTACATGCATCAGTGGAAAGACCTTTACTGCAACACAGATGATCAGTGACACACAAGGACAGATTTACATTTATTTGTAACTTGCACTGTCTTGTTAAGATGCCATTGATGCACTGGGCGATCAGTCATCAAGACCAAGACGTTTGGCTGTTCATGAATGGCCTTTCAAATTCCTTTTAAAACAGATACCCCATGGTTTAATTACTGTAATTGCAGTGCTCACGGCGACACTATGAGCAATAAAGCTTTCATGAGCAGACAGGCAGTGTAATTAAACAGATGACCTCTCCACGCTCAGCAGAGACAAACGTTTCTCTGGGAGCATTAAAAAAAAATAAAAAATAGAAACCAGGATGAAGATCATAAATCTTCTGAAATTAGCAATGGTTTTAATGACAGCACAGACCTGGGCTCCTGCAAACATAAAGCAAATGCTATGAATGAAGGGTGTTTGTGACTCTTTCCTCTGTATTATTTCCATAAAGCATGGAAAAGACCCAAGCCTAGCTGAATCAAGCTCTACATCAACAATTAAGAACGCTGCCATTATGATTTCTGCACACCGTCAGATGGCGACTGGGCCTACTGCCAAGCATCAGCAGCACAGGAATAACATCAGCATAAGCAGGCAGATTATTCAAAACTCTTACATGCATCAGTGGAAAGACCTTTACTGCAACACAGATGATCAATGACACACAAGGACAGATTTCCATTTGTTTGTAACTTGCACTGTCTTGTTAAGATGCCACTGATGGACTGGGTGATCAATCAAGACTGAGACCAAGATGTTTTGCTGTTCATGACTGACCTTGTTCCATTTAAAACCTTGTGCTATGCTGAAAATCCTTCACTTAATTTAGTTTTCTCTGTCAAAAATGACCAGCCTTTTCAGGGGCGGATCTAGAAAATTGTGTTTAGTGTGGCAAAGGGGTGGCGTGAGGACTGTGAGGGGTGGCAACACCAATGCAAACAAGCACTCAATCATATATACTTAATTATATTATATCATTTATACAACATATATACTACAATTAAAAACAAAATATAGCCACAAGAGCAACCATCAGGGTCCAAGCACCAATGGCCCATGTGCATGATTAGCGATCTAACTGAAATTAATCTCAAGATGTGGTTTTTACAGGAAAGTCCATCTTGAGTCTTCACTGAAAGTTAGGGTTTGATGAAACAGGTTACATCAACACACAGCTGTCAAAAAGGGCAGCTAACTTTCAAAATAAATCACTCCCTCTTACTCTTTAAAGGAGAAGTCAGAAATAGCCCTCTTAACATGTTCACTGTCATAAGCTATGCGATCATAATATATGTAGTGTAAGTGTGGACTTCTATTCAACATTTTATATTTAGACAAACTGCATATCATAAGATGTCAATTTCAAATGAATGTGAAGATATTTGCAGCTCAAAACTTTATCTGGAGCATTTATCTCAAGGCTCTTTTCATTTTTCATTTCTATAATTATGTATAATAATGCTAAGTGTTTGCTTTATTATTCATACCACAATAGTAAACAAGTGTCTTATAAACATTTTTATAATATATGTTATCTTGAAAAAGAAGTAAAACTGTCTCTTCATTTTAAATGGATACCAATATTAATCAGAAACATTAATCATAATATTTAATAATGTCTAGCAACTTGAAAATGTTGTATTAAGGGTCTATTAAAATTAAATAAACATTTAATGATCTACATTTCATAGATTTCACTGTACACTAATTATATAAAACTATATTTTCAGTACACCATACTACTTATTGTTGTGACGAGTCAGAAGCGTATGGATCCATTTGCAGCTCCTCCTCGATGTAGCGTTTCATGGCCTCGGATTCTGGTTGTGACAACGGGAAAATTCTACCTTTCGGAGGATTGGCACCGGGCGTTAAGTCTATGGCACAGTCGACAGATCGGTGAGTGGGGAGCTGAGATGCTTTCTTTTTACTGAACGCCTCGGTGAGATCAGAGTATTCTGGGGGCAGGTTCAGATCATCTGTGCTCTGAACATGCGGGGAAGGTGCATGACGGGAAGCTCGGGGAATCTTTGAGAGACAATGATCATGGCATGTAACGTCCCACTGAAGAATCTCTCCCTCTCTCCAAGAGACGCGTGGATTATGTGTGCGCAGCCAGGGTAATCCGAGAATAATAGAGTGATTGGGCGAGTGAATGACATAGAATCGGATGCATTCCGAGTGCAGGGTTCCTATTTGCAATTTGACTTCTTCAGTGATGCGGAGAACCTTTCCCTCTCCGAGAGGGTGGCCATCTAGCGCCTCCACTGCCAGGGGAGAGTTACAGGGGGTTAGTTTCAGTTTATGTTGTACAGCGAATTCATATGACACAAAGTTCCCGGCTGCTCCGGAATCCAACAGAGCAGTAGTGGTAATTATCTTGTCTTGACTAAATACTTTGGCCGGTAATTTAATGCTTGATGCAGAAGTTGCAATACGGGTATTGACACTCACCGATCGAGAACTGGAAGATGGACGGACCGGGCAGGAGATCTTTTTGTGTCCAGCCTGACCGCAATAGAGGCAAAGTTGGTTCTGCATGCGGCGTTCGCGTTCCTCGGAAGTGAGGTGAGTGAATCCTAACTGCATGGGTTCGGCTGCGGTAGTGGTTTCAGGCATGTAACGGGGCGTGGCTCGAGTTGAGCGTCGAGAGCGGATCAGATTGTCAATTTGGATTGAGAGTTCAATGAACTCGCTCAAACTCCTTCCCTCATCCCGGCAGGCCAGCTCCGACTGTGGTTCCCTCTGGTGGTGCGGAGGAGGCGGTACGGGAGCCTCCTCTGTAACACTTATACAAATGGACTAAATCTATGCATTTATTTGCATTCAAAGAGATGGCAACTAATAGAAAAATATTGGGATTAAAATGTTGCTTATCCTGTGCCCCTCCAGTAAGATTCTGGCTCCCTCTAATGGAAGTAGAAGTAGAAACGTCTGTAGGCATAACGGAAGGCCAGGACACGCAATATAGCACCTAACCTGCAAGTGCAAGCTATTTTAAATTTTAGGAAAAGACCTTGTCAATTAGCCAACATAAAGTTTTTCCTTTTAAAAAAATGTCAGTCTAGTTAAGATTACATTTCTTACCAAACTCCGTTTGTATTTTCTGTGATCTGGATTTATTTTTTATTTTTTTGGAGCAGGCACTCTGAGAATCCGCTCGCCGCAAATATTCACGATGCAAGTCAAAATAAACAATGAGAAGCGTTGCGGAAAATAATTTTGTAGCTATATAATAATTGAAAACAATCCATTTGTTTGTGAATTGGGCTACCCGACTACATTGTGCTGTGTGTTTCTGACTCACCAAAAGCCATTCGTAAAGAGACTCCATGAAGTTGACTACACAGCGTGAGCAGCCATGCAGCAGCTGTGTTTTCTTGCCAATTTTTCGTGGTAGATCTTTTTATTTTTTTTATGTCATCATATTAAAGCGCAGCTGCTAAAATCCTTTAAAAACACTACTTACATTTATATTTGATCCTGGGATAAATCTGGGGTGGCACACGACACGGGGTGGCGATGCTTTTTCTTAGGGTGGCAGTTGGCCCCCCATGCCGCCCAACCCGGTAGATCGGCCCCTGAAAATTGCTTGCAAATATCCGATTGCTATTTTATTGTCCAATCTTTAATTCAACATTTTTGTCAACTTGTTCATTTCATCTCAGTTTTTGAGTGAAAAAAAAAATCCATTATTTGTGGATAAGTTTGAGATGCACACTCAAAAAAACGGAGGTGCATAGCTCGGATGAGCCCTACAATCAATCAGTTCCAAAAAGAATTACAAAACCTGCGCTAATTGAAATAAAACATTAATAAAAAGATTGATTTGATAATAATATCAGAACTCTATAAGCATTGTTTTTGGGAACACCACAAGTGCAACAAGGTGGGATAAAAAAAAATTCATTTTGGGAAGTTGTTATGTGTGAGCAAAGTCAGTAAGTTTTAGTCTAATGATGCGATATTAACTAGAATTTTTTGGGAAAAAGAAAATCCTCTCTGGATCAAAATGAACCGGAACACAACATAGACATTTAAGCTTTTTCCTATAATGTAAAAATGTTTGTAAATTTAACAGAACAAAGTAAAAATGTTACAATAAAAATGTTACCTTAACAGATAAAGTTTAAAATTGTATTAGATTTAACAAAAATGTAATTTTACTGTAAATACTGTAAAAAGTATTAATTACATGTAATTCACAATAAAAATAAAATATTACTTTATGATGAAAATAAAATTACATTAAACAGGACAATACATGTACCTTTACAGTATAATTTAATCTGTATTTGTAAGTAAAAAAAATATATATATATATTTTATAACAGCGTTTTAAAGTGAATTTCTAGCAACCTGCCACTGCTCTTTTTTCTTTTTTGGTGGGGGGGGTTACTTAACCTTGGGTTAACATATTTTTAATCCCTGGGTTAAGCAACATTTCAGTTTATAATTTTGAAAAGGTCTTAGAACTGTATGGGTTAGAAGCCCTTCTACAGAAATAATTTAATATGAACAACCTAAAAAGTCACCAACAGGATTTAAAAAAAATTATATTAGGCCAATCAAAATGTTATTGTGTAAAACTATTTGAATATACCTTTCAAAGTGATCTTGGCAGAAACTGCGATCTACCATCAAATTAAAAATCATACACAAATAACCACTGTTATTCAATGGAATCGTCATGTGAAATGCAAATGAATCAATGGACGAGGAAAATAGTCTATGCAACACAACATAACTGCTTTAAAACACATATAGCCTGTTTAATCTACTTGATCTGTTTACCAAACATACACCTTTGCCACTCCATACAGCCCAAATATCCATATTCTACATCAGCCTACATCTACGCTACAACAGCCGTTATGTAAGCAGTGATTTTTCAAAGAAGTTGCATGAATATCAATGTCACATTGTGTACGGCACATTCTAGTAGATCTCTAAAAGGGCTTAAATGAAGGGAAGAGAGTGTTTGCATGATGGCTAAGGTCGCGTGCGGATGAAAGAAACAGGATGTAAAGCAGACTCACGGGAGCTGTCTTAACTGAAACAAATCATCGTCCATTATCGGTCTGTTCGTCGGGCTGCCGGTGTCTTTGTCTCATTGCCGTTACATTGCTGTCGGGTCGAGGCTGATTTCAGCACCACGGGCGTGAGAACAGCGAAGAGCTCAGAGAGGGGCGGTGTGGCGCGGAGCGTCCATGATTTCTGCGCCTGTCGTGTCGCTGGTGGCGTCGCTCGGTCGTGCTGGATCTCTGCAAAGGCTGGAACGCCCGTGTCATCCCAAAATACCGGGAGGGAACTGCGCATATGTTCTGGAGATGATGAATCAAGACAATACACTTTGTCTCCCATTAATTTGATTGACTTTTTCCATTCACTTTTTTTTAAATATTATGTAGGCGGCTATATTGGTCATTCCACTAAACATATTTCCAGAATGTTTTGTTAGTAAATTATATTAAGATTTAATTTTCAGTGAGACAAAAATGTCTGTAAATATGAATAAACTGCGTCTCAAACTAAAATAAATAATATGTTTGGATTTAGCTAAAAATATATAGCTGAAAAAGCTAAAGCAAAATCAAGGTTATAGAGCTGAATATTGGAGATCTACTGACAAATTTAATAAAACACAAAAAAGATATTTACTGAAAGGATGATGTTATTTTAATAAAGTGGTATGATGGTAAGAGTTGATGGATAACCCCTGGTTTCACAGACAGGCTTAAGCCAAGTCCCAGACTAAAATGTAAGTCTGAGCTGTTTCAACTGAAACAAACTGATTGATTGATCTTAAAATATGTCAGTGCCCCTGTTTTGTCTCAAGATGCACACCAGTAGGCCTAATGCTTTTTTCTAAGGCATGTTTATACAAATGTCCTAATTGAACTATGGGCTAATCCTGGCTTAGTCTAAGCCCTGTCTGTGAAACCAGGCCTAAGTCTTTTTAATAAAGTATAGGCCTATATATATAGAGAGAGAGAGAGAGATAGAGATAGATATATAGACAGACAGACAGACAGACAGACAGATAGATAGATAGATAGATATACGTGTGTGTGTGTATATAAAAGTGGGTATTTGGATGGGAAATCAAGTATATTTTGAGAGAGAGAAATAGAATGAATACAAACTATTAATTTTCATTACCTTTTTTCAATCGAAATGTGCAGATTTGTAAATAAAGGACAGATAAGTTAGAAAGCCAGGCGAAAAAAGTATACCCATAGAGAAAGATGACAAAAATAAATAAATTAACAAACAAATAAAGATACTTCGTTTGTGTTGAGTGAAATGCCAAAGTTGTTGTCAGCTTTTAAGTCTACTCGTATGTTTATTAGGAACACAAAACAAATCCAAATACACATATAAATCCTTTAAAAGCTCACACATATTTAAAGTCTTCATGGCTTTTTAATCCAAAGTGCATTTTCTGAATTCAGCTTTCTCAGCCTTTCATCATTTCCGGTTACGGCATCGAGACTCGTCCTGCTCCGCGGAAAGTCCGTCGCGCAACAATGCGCAATGTTTTAGTTCCGCACATGCGGGCGCAGTGAAATATGCCTTGGTGCAAACAGGGAGCTACAGACAAGCTTGTCCGAGAGTTCTTACGCACTGGAACCGCTGCAAGGTTGGAGTTTGTATAAAAACCTGTGACATGACGGCTGAATATTGTATCGGTGTAGCTCAGATAGACGTAGGAAAGGCAGTAAAGATTGTGGCAGCTGTTGCATTGGAGGCCAGCAGACATTCGCTTTACTGTGTTTGTAGTTCACTGATCATCACAAATGAATGAACAAGCGGATCTGTCCTTTTTTTTTACTTTTATTTGTTATAGATCCAGTAAACAAAAGTGTTGTAATAAATGTATTCGGACGGTTTTTTATAGCTTGACTATGCTTGATAGCCAGCAGTAGCTTATTAAAACTAATGTTACTCCATCTGTCTTTAAAATACCATTCATAGGTATTTAATGATTCCGAAAGCTTCAATTCAGCATTCAGCATGAATCTGAGCATGAGATTTGGTTTGGTATGTTCCTCTTTTCCCTAAAAAAGTCTGTTGTGTAATGATGTCTTTTGCTGGAGAGCCAAGCTTAATGCAAACACAGCTGTCAAGGTCAGAGGTAGTCTGCTGTCTGTCACAGGTGTCCCTCTGGCATGTTTGTTTGTGATCGGTCTACATGTGATGATCTGTTCATGTGCGCTTTAACTTTGTCACTTCATTTCTACTGTAAGTTGTCTGTGCTGGATACAACCAAAACACTTCTTTTTTATTATTCTTTTTTTCTTTCTTCGTTTCAGGAACAAGATGATGAAAAACTGGGGTGTAATTGGTGGAATAGCTGCTGCCGTGGCTGCTGGAGTCTATGTACTATGGGGGCCAATTTCAGACAGGAAGAAAAAGAGAAAAGGTGAGTTGTCTGTTTTCTTGGTGATTTAAAATCTTAGAGTAAGTTTAAAGTCACCATTAAATTAAAATGGACAGTTGTTGTTTTTTTATAGAATCTAAAAGCAGTGTTTATTCTAAATTATTTATTATTTGCCTTTGTAATCTTAATAAATAATTAAAAGCATTAGCTGCCTCTGCCCCTTGCAACGACATTTCCATGCCTCTCCAAAAATGAAAAAAAATATGGGGAGATTGATCACATCTGGTCAGAAGAGAGAAAGATGTGTTTGCTGTCACTCTTTCAGTCGTTGTATTTGAAATATTCGTGCGGCTGCATTAACTAGTTTTCTGTCATTTATTGCCCAAGTAATAAAACACAAAGCATTGTATTATTAATGTACATAGATTTTTATTTATTTATTAAAATTTAAAAAACTTTGCTAGTTTTGTGATGTTAATAACTGTGGAAACACATCATCACAGTCTGTGTAAAGGGCCCTTCCTGATGGGCAACTATTAACCTAAATTTACATGTCAGGAACTGTATCTTGTAACAGATGGATGGCACTTCATCAATTTGCTTTTCTCAAATGAAAATATGTATTCTTAATGTTCACAAGTATAAAATATAAAAAGTAATCATTTTATGATAGCAATAAGGCTCAAGGCTGTGTTATATTATAAATATAGTGACAGCTATAGATATTACAGGTGTGTTTTGACAATTCATCGCTTAAATGTATTATTTCTCTCACAGATATGCTTCTTGGTCTACTTAATAATAATAATAATATGATGTATTATTACTATTATTGTTATCATTACTATTGAATGTGTAATTTTTCTCGCAGGAATGGTTCCTGGTCTGCTTAATCTGGGGAACACATGCTTTATGAACTCACTACTCCAGGGCCTGGCAGCATGTCCTTCCTTCGTCAGATGGCTTGAGGACTTTACAAGTGAAAACAGCGTCCATCCGGAGAGAACTGAGAGAGAGACTCATCTGTCCAGATCTCTGATGCAGTTACTTAAAGGTTATTTCCCATTCACAAACGGATAGCATAAATGCACAAAATGTTAATGCACACTAACAGGGTGATCTCTCCATCTTCCCTCCTTTGTACAGCCCTGTCGAGTCACGATCCTGGAGAAGATGACGTTTTAGATGCGGGAGGCCTTTTAGAAGCTCTCAGACTTTACAGATGGCACATCAGCTCCTTCGAGGAACAGGTAAGATGTTTTCAACAACAATGCAGTTGCATATTTGACAGTTTTTCCAGAATGTTATATATTTTTTAAAAGGGATAGTTCACCTAAAAATGGAGGAATTACTTATGTTTTACATCCCTAGCTCAAATGTTAGGTTTTTAAAATGTCATTGAAATAACTTTGTATTATATTTGCCTTTTCTCCTCAGGATGCTCATGAGCTCTTTCATGTTCTCACATCATCATTAGAGGAGGAACGAGAACGCAAACCTAGAGTCGCTCACCTGTTCGACATGCAAACACTGGAGGTAAAGATGAGTAGTCCCCATTAATGCAGTATTAGGACCCCAAATATAGTTTGTAAACTAATGAGTTTATAATTAGACAGGCTCCATAGACATTCTCATGACACTACTGTTAATGCTTATAGAAATCTGTTGAGTCCAAAGAAAAAAACATAAGCTGCAGAATTGGAGGTAAATGAAGACTTAGTTCTTCAAACATTTCTGTTTTTTTTGTTGTTTTTTTTAAAGCATTTAGTAATTAATCTTTTTCATAATCAGGCCCACTACATCCTATTCAAAGTTTATGGAGGACTCGGCACCCTTTTCATGGACGGTTAACAAGTTATATGGCTTGTAAACGCTGTGAGCAGCAGGTGATATTTTTCAGACTTGTTTGTATTATATTTTTAATTAACTTTTTAGATTTAACTAACATTTATGATCTCAGTCTACAACAATTTATTGAAACAATGGAATTGTTAACCCTCTCTTTTTTGATTTCAGAGTCCTGTGCACTATGATTCTTTCGACAGCTTGTCTCTTTCTATCCCGTCAGTACAGTGGGTAAGCAATCTTGCTCTGTAATACACAATTACATGCGTAGAATAGCATTCTATATTACCTAAATTAAAATATCACAGTTGAAGTTGTATTGCCCGGCAAGTGTCTCACAGACAAAAATGTGTGTATAGTTTGATTCATGTGTATCATTCTTTCAGGGCCGACCAGTTACTTTGGACCAGTGTCTACAGCATTTCATCTCCTCTGAAACCATCAAAGAGGTGGAGTGTGAAAACTGTACAAAGGTATGATATATCTTTTGCTTTAGTACCATTGTACCTCATTTATTTGTTGGACTTTCAGAGCATTACTGAGCTGATTCTATTCTCTCTGTCTCTTTGTAGCAACAGGCTGGAGAGCTTGTAAATGGAGTAGTCCTTGAGAGTCAGAGGACAACATTTGTCAAGCAGCTGAAACTTGGAAAGGTAGACATATTTGTTATTCTTTTATTCAGACCAGAAAACTTTTCAAACCATTGACCGTTGCCCTGTAACCTCCGTAACAGCACTCTTAACTAACCTCCTGTTGGTTTGTGTGTGTTTCTTTTCACCTTTAGTTGCCTCAGTGCCTCTGCATCCATTTGCAGAGACTGACTTGGTCTAAAGAGGGCACTCCCATTAAGAGACAAGAGCATGTTCAGTTTACAGAATATTTGTCTCTGGATCGATACAAACATTGTACTGCTGGTCAGAACCTCCAGAGCACCAGCAGAATAAATAAGCCCATATCTGCCAAAGCTGCTGTAGACCCAAAAGACAAAACCATTGCTAATGGTGTTGGTAAGAGATGTGAACTCTTTTTCCAGTGGTTATGTGATGCTGTCATTTAGATCTGTGAATATGGATTTACTCCATAGAAAGGTTTCATCTGTGAAACCAAACAAATATCCTTGCAATCCTTTTGGTATTTTTTACAATAAAAATGATTAATAATAACAATAATAATAGTAGTAGTAGTAATAATAATTGCTGATGTTGCTATTATTATTATTATTTTAAATATTATTCTATAGAATATATACAAAATACAAATATTTGAGTATCTTGATTAAGATTAATTTCAAAGCTGATGCTGTTGTTGGGATCTGTGAATATGGATTTACTCCAGATAAAGGTACTAAAATACCAATCAAATGTGACCCTGGAGCACGAAACCAGTCTTAAGTCGCTGGGGTATATTTGTAGCAATAGCCAAAAAACATTGTATGGGTCAAAATTATTGATTTTTCTTTTATGCCAAAAATCATTTGGATATTAAGTAAAGATCATGTTCCATGAAGATATTTTGAAAATTTCCTAACGTAAATATATCAAAACTTAATTTTTGATTAGTAATGTGCATTGCTAAGAACTTCATTTGGACAACTTTAAAGGCGATTTTCTCAATATTTAGATTTTTTTGCACCCTCAGATTCCATATTTTCAAATAGTTGTATCTCAGCCAAATATTGTCCTATCCTAACAAACCATACATCAATGGAAGCTTTCAGATGATGTATAAATCTCAATTTCAAAAACTTGACCCTTATGACTGGTTTTGTGGTCCAGGGTCACAAATATCCTTGAAATCCTTTTGCTATTTTGTATAATAATAATAATAATAATAATAAATGATGATTAATAATCAATGCTATTATTATTATTATTATTAGATATATACAAAATATTTTTATGTGTCTTTGAAGATAAATTTCAGTTTAATTTGCAGATTCAAAACACTGTAACAACAATAAGCCACTGTTCAATGGAGCCTTTCCCTCCGTCTTCCTACACTCACCAGGACTGAGCTCACAACTCAACCTCACTTATGACTACAGGTAGAGATATGTACATGTGATAGATGCATGCTGTTATAAAGAGAGCCAGAATATGTGCTTTGATTTAGTCTGAAACTGCTTCTAAGCTGAAAATTTTGCAGGGAAATGAGGGAATGTAACCCATTACTTAACCATTTCAGTAACTTACCTTTTATCGTCTCACTCTAGCACCTCAGAGTACCTCTTCCGCTTGACGGCTGTCCTGGTTCACCACGGCGACATGCACTCTGGACATTTTGTCACTTACCGCCGCTGCCCTGCCACTCCCCATGGAACGTCTCCTTTTAGCTCCCAGTGGCTCTGGGTGTCTGATGATTCGGTGAGGAAAGCCAGCCTTCAGGAGGCACTCTCCTCCAGCGCATATCTGCTCTTTTACGAACGAGTGCAAAGGCCCGGTCTGAGGGTAGAAGAGTAGCGTCTCAGCTGACCCGGGTTACTTATTCTTAATTCAAATCTAGAGCGTTAACCCTTGCTTCTCTCCATTATAGGCCATGCTACTAAGGCCAAGTGCAACCATGCATCCCTGTGTATGCATTTTAGCACACATGATGTTTCTAAACTCTCTTTGTGAGAAAGAGAGAGGGAAGACGAGGGTTCTGTATATCATAGTTTCCACCTTAATCTTGCTCAGTGTCTATGGCGGTTGTTGTTTTAGAAAACTCCTAAGTCGTTAATTGAGCATAGGAATGATGACAGTCATGATTACTACCAGTTGCCACTGATATGGGGATTGACACAGAGATTTGAACTTGTTCTTTGCTCGGAAAACTCTACATGTCACGATAATGTTTTGTTGCAAATTGACCTAGAATTGTTGCCTTGCTCATTAAGCTAATGATCTGTTAGAAGAAAATTGTAAATGGTTTCTCATGCAGTTTTTTATCATTAACAATGTGTCTTTGTCAATGAATTATCTATTGTTAATCATATATTTATGCAATTTGCATATAAAGGTATTTTGTAACACGTAACCACAGCACTAAGTTATTTTTGTTTCACACTTTGACGTTAATTAAAGGAGAACGCAAAATCATGGGATGTATCCTCATCAGGTGTTGTGTGTCTACATGTAGATCAGGTTTCCTATGAATCCTGCTTAATTTGTGTTTTGTTTTGTTGTATGATTGACATATCCCAGTCAATTTATCTTTGTGAATACTTAGAAGGGAAACCTAGCAAGAATATGGGAATGCAATCCATACTCCAGATCCTGAGTATTTACCAAAGAGATTTTTTGCTGACATAAATATTTCAGTGTACTTTCATTACCAGTGTTATTCTGTAAATTCCTTGTTATATGTTGATTGTACATGATGCTATTTGCACAATTGTATATTTTTATGATATTAGTGTGTATGATTGTGTAGGCGAATATTTTTTTTACATGTACATTAAATTAAATAAATTCTGCAACAGTAATGTTAATCCTTTCTGACTAATATAACCAGCAATTTATTACATGGTACCAGAACTGAAGCAAATGAAGCCATAAAAACACTTCAGCTGTGCAGCATATTTTGGGTTTTTTAGAGAATTAGGCATATCTGAATTTAAAATAGCACCCTACCCACATACATTGGAGTAAATTGATAAAAATGGTCTCATTTTACAGAAAACCCTCTAAATTTTAACACAGTGGTGGAATATTGTATATAATATATTGTATTTATTCTCAATTGTATGATAAACACATATAAAAAGTGATATTTTGATATTTATTTTTATTATTATTATTTTTTTGTGTGAAAAAGTTCAGTTTTTGACATATAAGGTAATAAAAAATTTTTTTAAATATACCGGGTCCCGCGGTACTCCCGCGGGAGTGCAGGTCTCTAATTTGAACTTTGTGCTTTAAAAAAAAAAACACTGAGCTCTCATGACCCAAGTGCACAGACTGCTGAACTAAACTGAAGATGCCAACGCAAAGCGTCCTTGTCCGAGAATTCTCTTTCCTGACGAGGGTACTACAGCAGTACTTGAGTTTGTTAAAGAAATATCCAATCATCACCAAATCGGTTACGAGGTCAGTTTACATCTTTGTTAAAGCTAACGTTAGTTGGCTAGCTGTAGATTTGGGGAAATTCAGTTACGTTTAATACAAATTATTAGGCCGATCGTTATCTTAGTCAAACCACTAACCAATTATTGTACATGAATATACTCATTGCACAGTGATCATGTAACAATACTACATCTACATTGACTTCTGCTTGCAGTGATATTAGACAAGTAGAACTTGTACTGTTTTTATTGTTATACTCAAAACAATACAACATATAGGCTAATTTGAAGCAGTTCATTGTAATTTCACAAAAATGTTAAAAAAAGTTTTTTTTTCTTGTCAGTCCCAGAATTACCAGAATCATGATAGAATCAGTATCAGTATAGTTTGCTTTCTGCTAGTTAGTAAATTTATACCTATGTATTGTGAAATGTTACTAATTTAATTATAAGATAATGATAATGAATGTTAATGTAATATAATTAATAGTTATTTAATAATTTCATACTTAATGTATCAGGGAAACATGAGGTCAGTGAGTACATAATTTAATATTAATAATAATAATTAATAACTAAGAATGATGAATAATTTTATACATTTACATTTAGTCATTTAGCAGATGCTTTCATCCAAAGCAACTTAAAAATGAGGACAATGTAAGCAATACAATATTATAGTTTAGAAATAATATTTTATATATTTAAAAATATTTTTTATTTTATAAATTAAAATCAATAAATACTAAGCAAAAAAACAACAACTTAAACTTACTAATAAAATGCTTTGTAGTAGTAGCAGCAGTCATTTATAAAGCAGTCCTTTATCCATTTTTTTTTAGCTTAAAGGCACAATATGTAAGATTTTTTTATTAAAATATCCAAAAACCACTAGAACAGTGTTATATATTTTGCTGACTTGTGTACTTACATTATTCCAAATGTTTCGAAGAATGTTTAAATCCAGAGAAATAAGCAATTTTAACTAGTGGCACGGACCGTGTCCATAGTGTCATTGTGTCGCCTGCCAGTGACGTCATACACCCTCGATTTCCGGTTTTGTTTTGTAGAAAACATGGAAACACCAAAGACGCTTTAATATGTTGTGCTTTTTAATAGACCGGTGACGACCGCACAGAGTAGCATTATAACAGAACTTTCAAATGTATCTAGTATGATAAAACAGCGCTGCTTTACCCCACATACGCACGACCGGAAGGAGCGAAAGCAGTCGACTGTGGCATAATAAAAGCTTCGCTGCTTTCGAGCCGTATGTGTGTCACGCTCGTGAACATTACATATTGTGCCTTTAAGCTTAAGCCATGAAAGACTTTGCACGGAGTGATCACACCGGTGTGATCGTATGCGTCAAAGGGTTAAGTCATTTTACAAAAATATTTAATACCCGGACTGTTAAACGAGTTACAAATGATTCAAAAGTCTGAAAAATGATTTTTTTCCCCCAGATTTTTTATCACTGGTCCAGTCAGTCATTACATCTACCAGCTCTTGGAGGTGCTGTTGCCAACCACTGTCCCATACTGCCTGATCAAGCGCCTTCTGCTGGAACGTCTAATATTCGCCCCTGCTTTCCTCTTGCTCTTTTATGTGGTTATGAATGCTTTGGAGGTAATGTTTCATAGCTGGACTTCTTTGTGAGATTAATCATGTATTCAACTTTGTTGTGCGGAAAAATAAGCTTTCTTAAATACAGCACAACAATATTGAATCATTTCTGCATTTGTTTAGACTTAACTCGTATTTTGGACATACCTCTATATGCAACTATGTTGTTATTACTGTCACTGACACATTGTTCTACCATTTACTGTGAAGTATGAAGAAGTTGGTAGTAAGTATGGTAAGATGGTTGGAGTGTGGATGAAGCAAGTATGTGATTTTCACAATGTTGTGGAGCATGAAGCAATTCACCGCTACAGGTGGCAATCTTTTTATGAGAGGCAGATCTTAATGCAAATGTAGGGAAAACCTTCATGATGCTCAACTTTGTCCAGAATATAGACTTCAGCTGCTGGTCAATGAACTTCATCTGTTTGCTGATCTATAGTTTGCAGTCTCTCAGCTCATGAGCTGGTTGTGATTAGTGTGTTGAATTCTCTATTGCTGCGCCTCAATGTGCCTACTTATACTACGCCCTTAAAGTATGTAATTTTTTGGTGAAGAAAAAGTACACAATTTTGAGTGTGCAGTAGAAGAGTAGGCAAGCTTTGGGACATACTATCACGTCATACAACTGCATCTTTAAAGGATTAGTTCACCCAAAAATGAAAAGTATGTCATTAATTACTCACCCTCATGTCGTTTCAAACCCGTAAGACCTTTGTTCATCTTCGGAACACAAATGAAGATATTTTTGATGGAATCTGAGAGCTGTCTGACCCTGCATAGACAGCAACGCAACTGAAATGTTCCCAAGTCCAGAAACGTAGCAAGGAGATCTGTAAAATAATCCATGTGACATCAGGGGTTCAACCGTAATTATA